ATTGGGGTCAACGACCCCTCTGGTAATTGAAACCTTTGGAGTGGCCGAGGTACCTGGAGAGGATATGGGACACTAGGAGGGAAGGCTGGTGAACAGTGCATTGCGAGGCGAGCTGGGGAGAGAAGCACGTCGAGGAAGCTGAGTGAAGTGTTAGGAGAGATTCAAGATGACCCACTTTGCAGCTCTTAGATGGTCAGCATGCATTTTATGTTCCAAATGCATAGACAGGAATGAAAGGAGTATTTTCCTCTGTTCATTAAAAGCCATTTGTGTTCAATAATAAACTACTTTATCTGCTCAGTGCGGTGATGATAGTCCCAGGATAGGATGAGGGACTTGTGAGAAATGAAGTGAGCAGACGTAGCTGTGGAGCACCTCGCCTGACACACATACGTGCTCAGTGAGTGACAGGTGTTGCTCTGTTCTCTGTCTTTTTTCTCTCTCTCTTTTTAAAGATTTATTTATTTATTTGAAAGGTAGAGGTACACATCTAATAGTTCACTGCCCAAATGGCTGCAACAGCCAGTGCTGTGCCAGGCTGAAGTCAAGAGCCAGGAGTTTCTTCCAGGTCTCCTACGTGGGTGCAGGGACCCAGGGACTTGGGCCATTTTCTGCTGCTTTCTCAAGTGCATCAGCAGGGGGCTGGATCAGAAGTGGAGCAACCAGAACATGAACCAGTGCCCATGTAGGATGCTGGGTCTGCAGACCAGGGATTAACCTGCTGTGCCACAGTGGCGGCCCCTCTGTCTTTCTTAATAGAGAACTTGTGCCTTGTAAAATGAAACTGTACTGTTTTGGAACTGAAGTTTTTTATATGGCAGATTTCCATGAATAAAAAAAAATGTAATTATTGATTGAATTGTGCTGTTCTAATTAGAATTAGGTTCATAACAAGTAGGAACACTGTTTGATAAACTTGCAGACAAAACAAAGCCAAAAATTGTACTTGTTATCCCCTTGTTGAATGTGGCCCTGTGTTTCAAATTAATTAGATTTTTGGATAACTATGCTAAACTTTGTCACATCCTTATTAAAATTGTTTAAAGGTTTTGAAGAACATCTCAGAGGGACTCTGAAACTAATCTGAGTCCAGTACTGGAGATTCCATTAGCAATTGCAAAACTGATTAATCTTTTACGCGGGTAGCTTATTGATTATTGCTGCAATTACTGCATGTGCAATGGATTATACAAAGGATGGCTGCAGAAAACACATTTGATAACTGCTGCCAATGTATTCAGTTTGAGCACAATTCTTTGTATTTTTCATACACAATTATTTTCCATGCTGGAACACTTCTAAGATAGAAAGTGCTATGCTTAATATTGTTTCAATATTAGGAAGTTCACATTTTAATTTCTCAACTAATAATGCATTACAGTTTACAGAGTACCTTCACTAATTGTATTGCTGCAGTTTAATTTCTGAGCCTCCCAGTAGCCTATGTAATAGTCAGGGTAGGTGTTTTTACTCTCGTTTGGAGGAAACTAGCATTCAATAAGGTTTAATAACTCCCTGATGGCTACACAAGTTAATGAGTGGCAGAAACAGGGTTCAACTCCACTTTAATCAGTAAATATTTATTGAATGCCTACTATGTGCAAGGCTTTGTGTTAGGGTTAATCAAAGCCTGGATAGACTGTAGAGATGAAGATAATGAAGTTAATTGGGTAACTTCAAGGTAAGGTTCCATTATTGTTATGATGATCACTCTGTTACTTTTTTGGTCCAAAGTGTGTGAAATATTTTGATGTACTAAGTTGGGATTTTTTTTTCCTTTTGTTTTTGTTTAGTAGAAGCCTTATCTTTGTCATTACTGCTTATTTTATCACTGTGTAGAACAAAAGAAGAGAGTTTTCAAGAGAAGGATATCTTAAAAAGACACAAAGATCAAGCTTTGTAAACAGCTAGCTTTGTGGATTATTTTTCTTAAAAAAAGATTTATTTATTTGAAAGATTGATGAGAAAGAGAGAGAGAGAGAGAGAGAGAGAAATCTACCATTTGCTGTTCAGTCCCCAAATGGCTTTAACAGCTAGGGCTGGGCCAGGCTGAAGCCAGGAGACAGGAACTCCAGTTCTCCCACATTGGTGGCAGGAACTCAAGTACTTGAACCATTATTTACTGCTTATCAAGCTCTTTAGCAGGGAGCTGGATTGGGAGTGGAGTAGCCAGGACTAGAACTGGCAAGCAGCTGCTTAACTCACTGTGCCACAATGCCAGTCCCACTTTGTGGTTTGTTGTTTTTCCTGTGTGTCTCCCAGAGTACTCGGCACTGCCCTGTAGGGAATCTTATAGTGCAGTGGCCTCAGCTGCTGGGACTCATGCATTGTTGGCAGCTACCAGGCCTGCTCCTCAGAGGCCAGTAATCTGGTGTGGACCCACACCTTGGGTTTGGTTGTGGTGTGTCTTGTGTGTACGTCCTGTCTTCATTATGGCTGGGTGAAGAGGGGCAGTGAGCATAGCTTCCCTGAAGTCCTGTGCTAGGAGCTGGCAGGTGTGAGACCCCTGGGTTTGAGCTCTCCTGTTCCTCTGGCGTGCCTTGCTTGCCTCACTGGTAGCACAGGCCTGGTTGTCGGTGGACTGCCTTGTGCCAGGAAGTGCCGCAGACAGCTTTGCATTTTACCCTTGTCCCATAGGGAGCATTACACTGTGGCCTGAGCTTCTAAACTTGGGGCGTCACTGGCAGTAGCATGTCATGGCCCACCCCTTGGGTTTGGTTATAGCGTGTCCTCAGTGGTGAACCACTTTGCTTTGTGGAACACAAAGATTTTCTGCACAAACACAGACCAAGACCAGTATGCCAGCAGGAGAAAACATGCTTGGATTTGGGAGAACTGTGAGAAACCAAACCCCAAGCCCAACTACTTGCTTTAGACAAACTGGCAAGTTTCTGGTAATGATATGATAAGCAGGCATAGCATTCCAGTAACTGTGTTAGTCATAGTGCAAAGAGATGTTTCTAGGTTACATCAAAATTCTCCTAGTGCTTATACAAGTATATATAGTTTGTGAACTGATTTGGCACAGACCTAAAATGAAAGGAAAGCCATTTTTATTTATTTATTTTGTGCAGTAAATAAATAAAGCTGGAAAACAGGTCAATTTCATGCATGCAAGGTTTTATAGTAGGAAAAAAATACATTGCACCTGTTCTGACCCTTTACATTTGAGGTTATTTGTTTTCAAACTTGACCCCAAGCACCAGTTTCAGACAACTCTATAATTAATTTGTTAGAGAAAGCATAAGGATATTTTATTTGTTTTGATTTCTGGAACTATGGTGAAGTAGTCACTGAGATTACTAACCTATTGTACATAGCAGTTAATTAAAGAAAAGCATTAACAATAGGAGAAAATCACCTCTGGTGTTGTCTTGTATCAGTATAAACAGGCAGTAATTTTTTTGACAGCCACTGATTGGAAAGTTGCTTGCAGCCTTCCAGAAGCAAGGGGTACATGCTGTGGATCAATAACCGGCAAATTTCCCATTAAAAAGAATACCTGAGCAATGTTCCAAATAGCCACTGGCATCTTAATTTTCCATGGAAACCTCAAATACTTGTGTGCTGAGGACAAGTCATTTTCGGACAATTTTTCCAGACTACTTGTTAACAGTTATTGCTGTCCCAAAAGGTTGACAGCCGACATGATTGATATTTCATTTACTTGTCATCACTGTTTGAGTAATGGCGAGTGCTGTATTTCTGTGGATTTAAGGAACAGACTCTCCTGAAAGACGTTTGCCATAGTATGTGTTGCAGAGAGCGTGTGGCCCACGTTTGTGCTGTGTGCCTGTGAGTGTTCAGGTGCCCAGCAGGAGAGGATCGCCTTCCTTCACAGCCTGAGAGTCAGCTATACTTTTTATCAGTCCATAGCTATCAAAAATCTGTCCCCACTTTACTTGTTATTAGGGCCAAGAGCCTCAGACTTGTGATTCCCAAAGACGATGCAGAATTTTACAGCTCTTCTTTTTTCTAAGGGAAAAAAAAAAATACCCCAGCTTGATCTTGCAGTCGCTTTAATGTACATAAAAGCAATAGGAAGATTTATTTGATGACTTCTGAAAGGAAACACGGAGTGACAACATATAATGATAATCAAGGAAGAGTTTCCTAGAAGTGTGGTAGTTAAATAAATGCGTGTATTTTTCATACAGAAGCAGCAAGGATGAAAGGCGAGTTCTGGTCTTTGACGGCCCCTGAATACCCAGCAGCAGTGATTTCATCGAGAACATCATGTTGTTTGTCAGGCATTAAGAGCAGTGAGAATGCAGCAGCCATCTCCAAGTTAGGCAGGCACGTGCTCACCATTTGGTGTATTAAGGAAAATAGGGCTCAGACCACAGGTCAACCTACTGGATGATTTGTGTTTATGAAGGAGAAGTGGGGCAGCTTTATTCTTTTGAGGCCAGAATTTTACAGGGACACCTGTTCTGTGCTAAAATGTGTATAAGACAACAAAGGTAAGTACTTGGTAGTAGGCCACGTTCTTCCCTGCTCGTCTTGCCGTCTGTGGATGAGTCCTGTCTTGTTTGCTGGTGCACAGCCTCTGTGATTGAGATTTCTGCTGCACATTTTCTGTGCTGATATGAACATGTTTGATTAACTGACGTTAGGTCCGAGTCAAATGTGAAGCATTTTCATTTTGTTTTGCAAAATCCATGGAAAATGAACAAGAGGCAATTTGAGAAATTTCCACTGAAGTGCTTTTCGTGTTGTTTTAAATACATATTATTTTCAAAATATTTCTTAGGTCAAATACTAATTTAAAGTCACTTTTATTCTTAAAGATAAATGACAGTGTAGAGGATAACATATATGGGCTTTAAATCCTGAATGTTTACTGTAGTCATTTTGCCGTGCAGATGGGGGGAAGTATTCTCAGGACTGATGTGTGTGTACGAGCAGTTTACCCAAGCCTTGTGCATGCAACAGCCCCTAAATGTGTGTGCCAGTGTTCATGCATTACTGAGTGATCTCTTCCTGTAATCTCTTTGCAGTATTATTCCACAGTAATGGAACAGCAAGTAAATGGACAGTTAATAGAGCCTCTGCAGATATTTCCAAGAGGTAATGTTGAACAAATTCTGACTAATCAACAATGATTATTTCAGTAAGCTGTTTCATCAACAGTTATGCTTTCCAAAGGTTTAAATGCACATAACATGATGTTTAGCTCTTAATGTGAAAAAACAAGAGAAGTATTCATTATCGTGGGGATTGCAGGCTACATTATAGTTATGGCAGATAAAATTTCTAATTTACTAGAGTAAATTAAACTAACTAGATTGTTTTTTGTTTTTGAAGTGCATACTTACATTCGCTTAAAGAACTCTTTGGGGGTTCACGTGGTTTCTAATGCTAGGCAAGCGAATGACTTCAATTCTGGATGTTTCTAAGTGTGGCTCATAGCAGTGGCCAGAGAAGCCACAGGGGAGGAGGCTTTCAGCCAGTACAGGAGCTAAGATTTACTCAGGGTCTGGGGAGAGAAATTTGGGTCCTTTTTTGGGGAGATATCTTCTAAATAATGGAAAAATCCTCATAAATGGAAGCTTGGTTGTGAGGTCTCTTAAGTATGAGCCATTGGAGGTGTGTCTTGGAGAATGACCTGGTTAAATAATTTTCTTTTCCCCTTTAGGTTTGGCAGTATCAGTCTGGCATGAGATCTCATTGTTCAGCTGTGTATAAATGTTCCCTGAAAATTTGAATAATGGTGAAAAAGAATAGTTTAATTATATAAACCATTAAAAGTCCTTCACCTGTCATACATTGCCTCACTTGAAATCCATGTTTTCTAACTAATGGAACCGATAAGGAAATTCTCTAAGTAACTCTTCTAGAAATAACTTAATTGAAATAATTAAAAGTTAAACTTACCTTCGTTAACTGATACTGTACAAATAATCGTGGCATGAGTTTTCCAATTAAACATTATAGACGTTCATTACCTGTAACTCTCTAAAGTTTGAATGGCTCAATTAACCAGTAGGTTCCTATTTGCACTGCTAAAAGCCTCCAAAGACAGCTGCCTGGGCTGGCCCACACCAAGACGTGGGCTCAGGGGCAGTGTGGCTCTTCTTGTGTCTGTGTAGCTGGTGGAGTGAGGAGTGCTTATCACAGTGTCATTAAGGACTGTTAGAGTTCTAGGTAAATAAATAGAACTTTTAGGACCAATGATAGACTGAAACAAGGATTACCATTAGTCAAATTCCGCTGTGTTTGAGAGCTGAGCATCAAAACAAGGCAGAGAGAGAGGGAAAGACATTCGTCATTTCTGTGTAATAGGCAGGTAACAAGAAAGCAGATGACTTGTTAATGTTGTCAGTGACTGGAGAATTGGGAAGCTTTCAGAATTGTTTCTGCACAAGGAATGGTATTTTATACGCTGGAAATTTCCATTAATGCTTCCTACCAGATGACATTTTAGCTCTGATGTAGCCAAAGCCTAGTTCAGTGTCCTTGGAGAATCTTAGTTCCAGTGCTGTCGGTCTTTGTTTCTCTCCCCTCCCTCCCTCCCTTTCTTTTTAAAAATTTATTTATTTGAAAGGCAGAGATATAGAGAGAGAAGGAGGGAGAGAGAGAGAGAGAGAAAGGTCTTCCACCTACTGGTTTACTCCCCAAATGGCCACAATGGCCTGAGCTGGGCCGATCTGGAGCCAGGAGCCAGGAGCTTCTTCCAGGTCTCCCACGCGGGTGCAAGGACCCAGGGACTTAGGCCATCGTCTGCTGCCTGGGAAAGAAGCAGAGAGCTGGATAAGAAGTGGAGCAGCTGGGACTGGAACCAGCGCCCATATGGGATGCCGGCAGTGCAGGTGGCAGCTTTACCCACTATACCACAGTGCCGGCTCTCCCTTCTTTTTTCAATAAAATATTTACTTGTACTTCTCTTCATCAGAATTCTTTTCAAGTTCTGTTTGTTTTCATTCATTGTGTGAGCAGTGCTTGTCCAATCTCCCTGTCCATACCGGGTGCCCCTTGCATAGTAACAGCCAGTTTTAGACATCTGCTCTGTAGAGACACAAGTATTGTTGTGTGTCATCATTTCTTTCTTTTTTAGAAAATTATTTATGTAACTTGTTTGAAATAAAAAAATATATTAAATATATGTTTAATACATGAATATATATTAAATATATGTTTAATACATTAAATATATATTTAATTTCTTTGAAGATAGAAATCTTCCATTTGTAGTTTCACTCTCCAAATGCCCGTAACAGCCTGGGCTGTGCTAGGCTGAAGCCAGAAGCCAGAAATTCAGTCTTGGTCTCCCCTGTGGCTGGAAGGGGCCCAAGTACTTGAGCCTCACCTGCTGCGTCCTTGGGTCCACGTCAGCAGGAGGCTGGGATGAAGAGTGGAGCCAGGACCCAAACCAATTCTGATGTGGGTGTGGGCGTCCTGTGTGGTGTTCCGTGCAGTGGCCTGACCGCTGTACTCAATGCCTGTCCCAGTGGTCTACCTGTTAAGCATGATGGCTTTTCATCTTATTGATAATAATTATGGTTCAGAGAGGTTAAGCAGTCTCATAGTCACACAGCTTATAAGTGGTTAATATACCCTTATGAATACAACTTTTGTTGAAATTATGATTTGCTTAAAGTGGAAGATCATGTAAACTAAAATATTGATGGAATATAAGTACATGAGAGTGGTTTGGAGGGCGTTCTATAGGAGTGGGGTAAAGAGTATATTGTGGGCCGGCGCCGCGGCTCACTAGGCTAATCCTCCGCCTTGCGGCGCCGGCACACCAGGTTCTAGTCCCGGTCGGGGCACCGGATTCTGTCCCGGTTGCCCCTCTTCCAGGCCAGCTCTCTGCTGTGGCCAGGGAGTGCAGTGGAGGATGGCCCAGGTGCTTGGGCCCTGCACCCCATGGGAGACCAGGATAAGTACCTGGCTCCTGCCATCGGATCAGTGCAGTGCGCCGGCCGCAGCGGCCATGGAGGGTGAACCAACGGCAATGGAAGACCTTTCTCTCCATCTCTCTCTCTCACTGTCCACTCTGCCTGTCAAAAAAAAAAAAAAATATATATATATATATATATATATAGTGAGGAGAGGACACTTAACAGGAGAAAATAGTGTTTCATGTAGACTGAACATAAGACCTACTAGACTACAGTAAATTACTAAATATAGTCTTTCTTTTTTAAAGATTTATTTATTTACTTGAGAGGTAGAGTTATAGACAGAGAGAGGGAGAAACAAAGAGAAAGGTCTTCCATCTGCTGGTTTACTCCCCAAATGGCCACAGCAGTCAGAGCTGGGCCGATCTACAGCCAGAAACCAAGAGCTTCCTCTGGGTCTCTCATGTGTGTGCAGGGGCCCAAGCACGTGGAGCATCTTCTACTGCTTTCCCAGGCCATAGCAGAGAGCTGGATTGGAAGAGGAACAGCCAAGATGTGAACTGGTGCCCATATGGGATGCTGATGCTGCAGGCGGAGGCTTAGTTCACTATACCACACTGCTGGCCCTCTCTAAACCAAATTTCAAATTTTCAAAAAATATGATTGACTCTGTCTATCTCTGTGATTTTTTTTCGTATACTGTAGTACAGCTCTTGTTTTTTGTCTTTTGCCTTTGGCTACCTATCTTCATTGTATCCTATGTAATAAGTGAGCTTATGGACATAGTAGGTGTCTCACCTGGTTCTGTCTGGTTGGTTAGAGGCTCTCAGGCCTGAGGTTCTGTGGCCAGGCCCTGGGTTAAGAGGAGTCTTCAGACTGGAGAGGTAGGAAGAAAATGAGAAAATGAGTCTGTTCTCATAATGTATGTTCTTGTTCCAAGTACTGTGGCTGCCTGTGGGAGTAACTCCCTGCTCATGGCTATGTCTTCTCCTAGGTAAAAGACATGTTAAATACTAGGAAATATGAAAATTTACTAGCTTAGTTTTTTTTTAGTAACTTCTGACTCTATAACTTTAGGATTTGTAAGGTTACTGGTTTATTTACTTATGTTTAACAGTTTATTTGGAAGGCAGAGAGACAGAGACTGACAGAGATCTTTTCGTTCACTGGTTCGTTTCCCAAATGCCTACAATGGCCAGGGTTGGCCCAGGACTGAAGCTGGCAGCTGGTAACTCAGTCCAGATTTGCCACGGATTGAGCTGCTTTTTGCCATCATGTTGCCGCCTCCCAGGGCGCATGCTTGCAGGAAGCTGGAATCAGAAGTGGAGCTGGACTTGATCATAGACATCTGATATAGGATGCTGGATCCAGAGCAGAGTGCTCACAGCTGTGTTGATGTCTGGCTTGAACTCCTTGGTTAGCCACTTTCTACATAAATGCAAACTTATGAATGCACCCGTCACTTTAGGGGGGACATTTGAAGGGTTAGCTCAGGAAATATTGGTGGTCCCTCAAGTTCCAGGGATAATGTGGATGTGACTGCTGTTCTGTTCAGAAAGTTAATTTCCATGTTAAAGAAGACTTTGAGTCTTAATTTTAATGTATTTTAAAAAGTCAAGCAAAGAGCCTTTATTAAGATTTAGATATGTTTTCTAGGAAAATAACATAATAAATTTGAATATACTTGAAATATGCGAAATTAAAACTGATGTGCTTCGTAATTATTGCCCACATCTTCTTATTAAACAGCTCTATTTCTTGTTGTCAGAAGCAACAGAAGAAAAAATACATGTGCATCTGAGAGAGGAACAAAAAAGAAAAGAAAAAAAATCAAATTCATCCTTCCCCAAACAATCAATCAAAATTGACGGCCCCTTAACATACGATTTGTCGGCCACTATGGTTTTCAAAAGGAAGCAGCCCTTAACATGGACAGGAAGCATTTGTATTTTTAACATTTGATGAAGAAGCATTTGCTAGATTGGAAGAGTACTAATCTGTAACTCAAGATGGTGTCAGAAAATTAATATTTTTCCTGGCACTGTTTTATCTTTAGACCTGAGTATTTCACGTCTGTCAAGAAAAAGTGATGCAATTAGTGATGTGTCTGTCCCTCAGCAAATGCGGCTGCGTATAGCTGTGCAAGTATTCAAACCTGAATATTCCATCTCAGAGTCTCTAGCAACCTTTCTGGCATGAAAAGATCCTTTTCTGCCTCCTCTCCCCCAGAAAACCCCAGCTATTTCCAAAGTAGTTGAAGTGATTGCTGATACACAATTTCATAGAGTGAGGAGAGATTACAGAAATTTGAATTATGAAAGGAATCTAACCATTTCAGCACAGTTAACTTGATTTTTTTATATGTTTTAAGCAGAAATTGGAATTTATACGAGGTGGTGTCAGAAAGCTCTGTGCATTTATAAATGCTCACTCCTGCAAGTTAAAGCCCTGGTTCGTAATTCCCACTCTGGGTCTTGGGAGCTACTTTTCAATCATTTCTCTCTGCTAATTTTGGTGTCACCCTCATTTCTTTTTAAACGATTCATTTTGAGCAAATTTGTAAATGGCCCTGATGTGTTCTACAATTTAGTCAATTACTGTTTCAGCCTGCAAGCCTCCTGGGGAACGGAACATACATGGCCTGAAGGTACGAATTTCAATAATTGTTTCAGTAAAGTTAGATGGATTTGTAATGCTGTGTTCCACTTATTGAAATGTCAAATAAAACTGCACTTTCTCAAGCTCTGACAAGCGAGCCTTTTTTTTTTTTTAAAGTGGGAGGTGGAGGGGGCCCCATCTGTAGGGTTTGCTCAGTGTGTATGTGTATTTGGATGGGGGGTTTGGTGCAGTATTTGGAACTGTTTGTGGGTCGCTTTCTTCAGGATGATCCTGGGTACTGGAAGATTTATTTGAGGGAGGCTGTAGACTTCATCTCGGTGATTAATTAAGCACAGACGTACAGTGCGCACAGAGTACCCCCTCCTACTCTTTTGGCATATTTATGCTGGAAGCATATATCTAGTTAATGTCCTTTTATTGTTCTGTGTATTTTGAATTCTCGATTTCTGCTTAGGGCTTCACATCTGAAAGTAAAGCTGGCTATTTTGTGAGGCTCAAGTATTTTACAATTAATTACTTGGCCTTAATTTTTTTTTTTTAATGAATAAGGAACATCCTACAGTGTTCTGCTTGGTTATAGGGCTGGAAGGATGTGATTTTTTTTTTTTTAAGATTTCTCTTTTATTTATTTGGAAGGCATAGTTGCAGAGAGAGGGGAGACAAAGAAAGAGAGAGAGAGAGATTCCATCTGCTGGTTCACTCACCAAATGGCCCCAATGGCTGGGACTGGGCCAGGCTGAAGCCAGGAACCCAGAGTTTCTTCTGGGTCTCCCATATGGGTACAGGGGTTCAAGCCCTTGGGCCATGTTTTATTGCCTTCCCATGCACACTGGCAGGGAGCTGGATTGGAAGTAAAGTAGCTGGGTCTCAAACTGGTGCCCATATGGGATACCAGTGTCTCAGGCGAAGGCTTAACCTGCTACACCACGATACGATGATGTACAGCTCACTGCCAGCTCCAGGAGATATTCTTAATGTACTTTCTTCAGCATTACTGTTTTTGTACATGTTCTAGACAGTGAATTGAATTTCCTTCATTTGTCTTTCCTTTTTCAGCACCATTTAACTAAGTATGTGAATAATGACGGGAGTTTAGAGTATTATGTAATATATGGGTTGTGCGGTTCTGTAACCTATATAACTGAACAGACACCAGCCATGGGTCTGTCTTGCAACAAGCTAATTAACCTTCATAGTGAAATGAGAAATTTGTGGCAAATTATAGGTTAATTAGAACTGTGTCCTCAGAACACAAGAGTGATGGAGATTCTTTCTTTACTCATAGGTGAACACCAGGGCTGGGCCCTCCCAACACAGCAGCCCAGCCGTCTCCGACTCACTTCCAAGCAATAGGTGAGAAGCAGCGACTGAAGATGCTGGTGTCGCAACGATCTGCAAAGACGGGGGTGGAGTGGGTGGAGGGGGGGAGTCTTGGGGATGACACATCTTTCCTGCAAGACCCAACAACATGCGTGTGGCTGAAAAGACACTTGACCAGTTGGATAACTGGAGCTTACAGATGGGCCAGCGAGAAAGCAACTCCTTTAGAAAGATGAAATTAGTCCTTCCTGTTAAACTATTGATTTTGGTCTGTGGGGTGGTTTTTCTTCAGTCTCCAACTTATATAGAAAATTCAGTGCTTTCAACAGTTTCATGCCTTGGTGATCTGGTGTTTAAGTTGTTTGGAGTGCGCTGTGTTTTTCTTGCTTGTTCATCTTGTGGTGGTGTGGGTATCCACTGACACCATCACCAGCAAGAGGACGAGAGGAAAGTGGTGAAATTCAGATTGACCACCCACATTCCTCACCAGCGTCTTCGGTGGTTCAGAGATTGATGCTGTCATAGAAGGAAGATAATTTTCATCAGTTCACGCTGACTAACATTGCCCCGTACTAGGAGGGATATGAAAGGCTTTTGCCTCCCCAAAGTGCACTTAACAAGCCTGAGAGTGTCATTGCAGACTCTCAGGGAGAAGGTGGCACCAGGCCGAACTGATGGAATACAGGATGTTTTGGTTGTACGAGGGCAGTCATGGAAAACGGAGTTGAAAGATAAGCTTATTTCGGTACAAAAATGTTTTAAAATCATGCTTAGTCTTTTTGTAATAGGAATTGTTAATGTACTTTTGAAATTGATTATTTTATTTATTTGAAAAGCAGATAGAGGGAGAGAGACAGAGAAACAGAGATCTCCTATCACTGGCTCACCCCCTAAATGTCTGCAATGGCCAGGACTGGGCCAGGCCAAAGCCCAGAACTGAGGACTCAATTTGGGTCTCTCATGGATGGCAGGGACCCAATCCTTGACCATGACCTGCTGCCTCCGTGGGTGTGCATTAGCAGAAAGCTGCCATGCAGAGTGGATCTGGGACTGAAACCCAAGTACTCCCACATGGGATGTGGTATCCTGGGCAGCAGTTTAGCTTCTCTGCCAGATGCCTGCCCCTCATAAGCTTTTTTTTTTTTTTTTTTAAGATTTATTTTATTTGAAAGATAGAGCTACAGAGAGAGGTAGGGACCTAGAGGTCTTCCATCCCACTAGTTCACTCCCCAAATGGCTGCAACAGCTGAAGCTGAGTCGATCCGAAAGCAGGAGCCAGGAGCTTCATTTGGGTCTCCCACATGGGTGCAGGACTTGGACCCTCCTCTACTGCTTTCCCAGGTGCCTCAGCAGGGAGCTGGATCAGAAGTGGAGCAGCTGGGACTCGAACCAGGCCCATATGGGATGCTGGTGCTGCAGGTGGTGGCTTTACCCACTTCGCCACAGCATCGGTCCCCCTCATAAGCTTTTTTTTATAATAATTATTATTTTTTAAACTATTTTATTTATTTATTTGAGAGGTAGACTTAACAGACAGTGAGAGGGAGAGACAGAGAGAAGGGTCTTCCGTCCATTGGTTCACTCCCCAGATGGCTGCAATGGCCGGAGCTATACCGATCTGAAGCCAGCAGCCAGGTGCTTCTTCTGGGTCTCCCATGTGGGTGCAAGGGCCCAAGGACTTGGGCCATCTTCCACTGCATTCCCAGGCCACAGCAGAGAGCTGGATGGGAAGAGGAACAGCCGGGACTAGAACCAGCGCCCATATGGGATGCCGTTGCCGCAGGTGGAGGATTAGCCTACTGTGCCACGGTGTTGGCTCCACCCCTTCATTAAGTTTTTTAAAGACCTCTTGTACTCATAGATTTCAAAATTGATTTCATAATTATCTTTTCATTCCATTTTTTCCCGCAAACTTTCTGAAGTACCTCTGTACATGCGGGTATTCAGCCAGTAGATGCGATCATGTGGTCCTTGAGGGTGACATTGTGCAGGTGATTGCTCCATGCATATCTTCACCAGGGCGACTGAAAGACCAGAACTGCCATTCCGCGCCCTGGGGTTTCAGGGCCTCAGTCAGTGCTTGACGGCCATTTAGCGGGTGAGATGTAGTAGGCTTCTACTTTCTTTTTTATACCTCTTCCTTCCCCCTTAGGCCACATCCTCAGGTGTTGGGCCAGGGGACTTTACTGTAGATAACTTACAAAAGTCTTTCCTTCCCTGGCCCCTGCCCAAGAGTCACCTCCTTGATTGCTTTATTGTGGTCTGAGTGTGTCTGCCCACCTACCTGCCTGCTGTGAACACACTGCTCTTACAGAACATTTCCTTCTTGGAAAAAAAAAAAAAAAAAAAGTTTCGGGCTGGCGCCGTGGCTCAATAGGCTAATCCTCCACCTGTGGCACCGGTACACCGGGGCGCCGGATTCTGTCCCGGTAGCCCCTCTTCCAGGGAAGTGCAGTGGAGGATGGCCCAAGTGCTTGGGCCCTGCACCCCATGGGAGACCAGGAGAAGCACCTGGCTCCTGGCTTCAGATCAGCGCGGTGCACCGGCCGCAGTGTGCTGGCCGCAGCGGCCATTGGAGGGTGAATCAATGGAAAAGAAAGACCTTTCTCTCTCTCTCTCTCTCTCTCTCTCTCTCACTGTCCACTCTGCCTGTCCAAAAAAAGAAAAAAAAGTTTCACTTATTTGAAAGGTAGAGAGACAGAGATCCTTCTGTCTGCTGGTTCAGTCCCCATGCTCCTTAAAAGCTGGGACTGGACCAGGCCATAACTAGGAACCTGGAACTCCATGTGGGTCTCCCACATGGGTGACAGGGACACAGCAACTTGAGTCATCATCCGCTGCCTCCCGTGGTGCTCATTGAAGAGCAGGAAGCTGAAATCCAAAGCAGAGCCAGGACTGGAACCCCGGCACACCAGAACGGGATGTGGGTATCCCAAGCACCATCTTAACTACTGTGCCAAAAACCTGCCCTGGCATTTCCTTCTCAACCAGTTCATCCTGTCTTCAGGTGCCCTCAGTTTGATTCTGCACCCATGGGTCCTCTGCCGTGTGGTTGTAAGATTGCCAGGTAGCACCTGGCAGCTCTTCTCCATGCTTGCTGGGCCCGTGAGCCCTGGGCCTGCAGAGTGGAGGCATGAGACAGAGCGCTGCTGCTCTACTCAGCTCAGAGAAGCTAAGGTGTCTTCCAGAAAAGGTGTTCAGCGCACACGCCGATGGTGAGGTGGGGGAAGAGCAGGCACTGTCCCTGGTGTTTCAGATTTCATCATGGCACGAAAAGCAGGATGGCAAGGCTGAGAAGCAGGATGGCTTTGGTGGTTCTGGATTCGGTTTTAACTGCGGACGTGAGCTGACTTGGTCGTTCAGAAAGTATCCTGTGTTCGCGGAGTGTTACGCAGTCGTTGGTTGGACAGCAGTTCAGACCATCTGATGACTGGTGGCTTCACCCCTTGTGGATACAGCAGCCTCCCCGTGCTAATATAGGCTGCTGTGGTAGTGATCCTGTCACGGGGGCACTGTAACCTTCAGAAGTCCCACAGGGGATCTGAACCTGCCCCCTCGGTTGGCCATGTTCTTTGTCCAGGTCGACAGCTGATCACTGGGTGCTGTCTGCAGCCCCATGTCCCCAGGGTTCACTGTTTGATGCATGTGCGACAAAAAAAGTATGCAGTTGATAACTTTGTCTAGTTAGTGCTCTGAGTGGAGAAAGGAGGGGCTTGGAGAGAGCACTGGTCAGGAAGGTGTTTCTGTTTGAGAGTGCCATTTCTGTCTAGACCCAAGGGACGAGAAGGACCTCGTCAAGTCCATGGCCAGACGAGGGCGTTTCCCACAGGAGTGTCTATAGGGAAGCTCGGGGAGAGTGCTGGCATGGGGCAGGGCTGTGGGCACAGAGGCAGGGAGGCAGCCGAGCGAGAGACGACGAGCAGGAGTGGCCAGCAGCAGGTCCTGTGGGGCTGAGGAGGCCCAGCAGCCCCAGCTCTCCTTGTCCAGTGCTGCTGACCCTGGGAAGGCTTCCGGCCGGAGAGTTCTGTGTCACCCTGTGTCTGTGAAGGTCCCTTGCCTGCAATGTAGAGGAGGGGGAGGGGCCCAGGTACCCGCCAGGCCCACCCTCCAGGGAGGCTTGAGGCGCTGGGTGGAGGTCCCCGCAGCAAGAAGGGTCTGTGTCTGTTGTCATGTAGCTACGCCTCAGCAGGCTCTTTCAGAAGCTGGGCTGTCTCCCTGTAGTACCTACTCAGATGTAGCTCGGCTGTTGCTTCTTCTAGTCATCTGCCCTACAAACACACCTCCCCTAGATTTCCTGTCCCAGTGTGTTCCCCATCATCCCCCGGTGGCTGACTCCGGCTAACCTGCCCACCATCCTTCACAGCTGTCTGGGCCCCCATCACTCCCTGTGTATGCAGGGCTGCCGGCCAGCATCCCCGTGGCTCTCCAGGCCACTGCTGCAGCCTCCTGACCGCACCCCCTCCAGTGCTGCCCCACTTCCTCGCTCCTGCACATTGCCCCTAGAGCCAGCTTGCTGACGCACCCTTCGGAGCCATCGTCACCACATGGAAGCCCTTTCACTGCTCTTCAGGCCTCCCGGGCAGAGGGCAACAGTGTTCCCCACATGGGCGCCCACTCCAGCTTTCTGGCCTGCACACTGCCCCTGCCCACTGACATTCCAGCTGCAGGTCGGTTTCCTCTCCCTGGAGGCCTGCATGCCCACGGCTGCCCTTTCCTGTCTTCCTCTTCTCAGCCCCTTCACCTCTAGTCTGGCTAACGTTGGTCATGTTTGAGGATCGAATGATCATACTGCCTTTGACTGTAAGCAGTGAACGCATTGTAGTGTTTTTAAAACGTGCTCTTAATGATTTTTATTTTACTTGAAAGGAAGAGAGAGACAGGTGGAGAGAGACCTTCCATCTACTGGTTCACTCCCCAAGGGCCCACAAGAGGCAGGAGCCCAGCCCTTAGAGTAGGTCTCCCAGGTAGGGGCAGGAACCTGAGTACTTGAGTCATCCCTGCTGCCTCTCGGGGTTCAGGTTAGCAGAAAGCTGGGTTTGGGAGTAAACAGTAGTCAGGACTTGAGCGAGGCACTCCGACATGGGATGTGGGCCACCTACGTGCTCGCCCAGACTCCGTTGTATTGTAATCACCTCTGCCCACAGTGGGTTCTTGCACTGCTTGAGGGCAGTGACTCTAGCACATTCGTCGTCCGAGCCCTAGTTTCTGGCGTGGTGCTTGGCACGTAGGAGATAGTCAAGCCTGCTTGATGAATGGACTTGTACACTTAGATTCGCTTTAAATCTTGTCTCTGCCTTGAATGCTACCGGTTCCTCCAGCTTTTCTTATAGGACGATATTTTTAGTCCCCATACGCTTTTACTCTTCTTTGGATAGCTCAGTGCTTGTCCTCAGGTATAATAATACAATATGTATTATATATTCTTATGTATTATATACAGATAACATTCTAATAATGCATGGGTTGCAGTTGTATCACATATATAAGGGTTTTTAGAAGTGATTTTTGCGTAGTTCAGGTCACTCTGCCTTTACAGGTAATGGAAACACTGGGTGAACTCAGTCACAAAATAGGCCAGGGCACACAGTGTGTTTTTTACCAGGCCATGTTTGCAGCCAGATGTCCCTAATGAGGGACATGAGTGTTCCCCTCTGTTACTGTCAGAGTGTGAGCTGTTCTGTGCTGGAGGTGCGTGACTGTTACTAAACTTAGCTCACTGGTCCACACAGTGTTCCTAGGCCGTAATTACTGAGTTTACGTTCCACTGCCGAGGCAAGGCCTTTCCTGAACAACTTGGCTTCCTCCTTCTATGAAATTAGGATGATTAAGCTTTCCATCTCTCTACCTCTGCTCTTGGGAAGATTGATGAAGTTGTATAAAGGAATCATGTTTTATTTCTTGGATGAAAGACGGTTTGTAAATGCCATGAATCAAAATGTTATTATTTCAAGTTTATGACATAATGGAATATCTGTGGAGAAGCATTGCCTGGGCTTGGTTTGGTTATTTGTGTCTTTACAATATTTGAAACTATCAAATTGAGAGTCATTTGAGGGAATAGTAGGATCTAAACGCTTCCTAGAGAGAAAAGTGTGTGTGTGAGAAAGTGAGTAAGGGATGGACTGGCTTTGAATAAGGTCTGTACCTTCGTTTCCTCTCTAAATTATGGATGACAGCCATACCCCAGGGCTGCAGTGACTGTGCAGATTAAATTAGGATGATGAAGTGCCAGCACCCAGCGCAGCACCTGGCACCAGTAGATGGTGATTGCAGATTATCAGTTAACTGGACGGGTGTGAGGCAATCGTTTTTTTTTTTTTTTGTCTGCTTTTCTGCTTTAGTCTCAATCCACAAAATTCTTAATTGCTACTTTCCTGCATGTATTTGGAGGTTTGAGAGAGCAGTATGAAAGTGTGGGTGATGGCTCAGTTTATGAAATCTAGGCGAGGACCGAAGTGCCCTCCTAGCCTGCAGTGGACCATAGCAGAAGTTTAAGAAGCATTTTAAAAGAAGAACAATTATAACTGGAAGTGGTACATGTGGTCACACTTGGAGCCTAAGACTTTCTCACATTAACCTGTTAGAGGCCCCAGGTAGAACGTGTGTGCGCATGCGTATTTCATGTTGCGTCCCGAGTCCTTTTGCTCTCGGTGGTGCTTGTGGTATTTATGTCTTTCTGCATTACTGCAACGACGACTGCTGCTACCACTGTGACCTCCACCACCATCCCCACCCAGCACCACCGCCACCACGGAATCATGACAGCCAGAGCAGTGGTCAACATCTATCAGACAGCACGTGCCAAGTCTCTGGGCTGGGTTCAAGGATGAGAAAGGCGTGGAATACCCAGAAGCGAGTGGGATGTGGTCTATGTTCTGAGGAATCTCCCAGTCTTGCGAGAGTGTGTGCTGGAAGAAAGACAGATAACTAACACAAGGGAGAGGGTTCATCTGGTAGGCAAGTAGTGAGTGAGGACAGATTTCTAAGAGGAGGGTCAGTCGTCTTTAAATTTCAAGCGGAACCTTGGTGGGAGGTGCTCTTTTATGAGCCACCCCTAGTTGGGTGGGCGTGTGTAGACACAGCTCACTCCAGACCTCGCCTTAGCCACCCTCTGTCTTCCAGAGGACTTTCACTTACTTGTATACATAGCCATATCTACCCAGAGCACATTTTGATGTGTCCTTAATATAACTCTGGAAACTGAGTCGCAAAGGGTAGGAGAGAAAAGGCAGCTAAAAATTCCTAATTTTATTAATAAAGCATACCTGCTATGTATAAAACACAGGGCTAAGTTTTTTGTAATACTTAATTTTACTTAGAAAGTAACTTGTTCTAGATCACCGGGCTGCCCAGCACCAGGATTTATTTCTGCTTCTCATCTTATTCCCAGGAAGTAGAATTGTAACTCTTAACCACAGTGAAAGATCAGGACCCAAAGCATCTATTTTCTTTTGAAGTTCTGTAATCTCTGTTTGCTGTGGACATTCCAAGACTCCATTGTTAGATACTGTGTGCCTAGCAGATGTTACTGAAAGGCTACCCAAAGACAGAACTAATGACCCTCCCCCCCCAAAAAAAAGTTGTAGCCGACCCTTGACTGTGGACTTCATTATTGCTTTACTTTTCGAGTGGGATTTTAGTCGCTCAATTGATGCCCTTGGCAATTGGCCAGCCACTCATTAAAAACCCTTGCACAGGGAGGAGGCTGTAGAGGGTAGAGCCCTTGTCACACCTAAAACTCAGGTGTATTCTGGTCTGGAATTTTCGGTGGTCTTCAAAGGTACTAATGATCTTGCACTAAAAATTATGTCTTCCCTTTTCAGCTTAAAGAAGTCTTCTGCCGAACTGAAAAAAATACTAGCCAATGGCCAGGTAGGTGTTGTTACGTATGAAGGTTTTCACATAGCCAGAGCTTAGTACTGTGCGGTTTCTGTATCCATAAACTTACTCCACAGATAGAGTCTGTGGATTTCTTCCCGTCATAAATGAAGAACATGGCTTAATTTGATTGGCAGAACAATTTGCAGCACGTTTTTCAAACTGTGCTAATGGCTTTCCCTCCCAGCAGATTGAAGCACCGTGCACACACCCTGCTGCCATCTCAGTTTAAGAAAAGTTAATCAGTTCTGAACAAGTGTGTCAACTGCGGGCTGGTGGGACGGCCTGCGTTCTGCAGCCGCCCGCCTGTTTCTTTCATTGTCTTTGGGGAGAAAAGGGAGAACGGTTACTTTCTTGCCTTAGCTCCTCCTTTTGTCCTGAAACTACCGCTGGCCTCTTCAGGGAACCAAGTCACAGCAGATGCTTCTGCCTAGGCGACTGACCCCCGCCGGCCAGGGAGGGACGAGTGGGCCTGCAGGCCAGGTATTTCTCACTAATTTTGATTCAAGTAGATGGACACATCTGAAATGTGTATGGGGCTTTTAAACATACACGGGCAAATGGAGTTACCTGCAGGGTCCTCGATTCTTCAGTAGCATGTAGATGCGTTTTAATGTTTGTGATAGTGGGAGCCCTTTGATAGCCGTGGAGGCAGGCGCCTGTCCATTGCCATCAAGCCTGCCTATTAGGCTCTATTGACTGAGACATCTGTGTCACTGCAAATAACAGACTCTTATTGATTTTCTTAACTGCTGTTCACTTCCCGTCCATGTTTCGAAGGCTGAAATCTTAATTATCTCAGATGCTTATTCAGTGCCTTCACACGCTGACCTCTCCAAGCCTCATTGGCATTGCATGAATCAAGTGCTTGTAGTGGAGCATGGCAGGAAGACAAAGCTGGGGCTGCCGCCTGTCCTTTAACGTCACCTGGAACGTTGTGGCCCAGTAGCCGTGTGCGCCGTAAAACGGTGACCGTGTGGCCATGCTTCTAGAGTATTGCCTGCTGCGCACGCAATGTTGTGAAGACGGTCAGCAAAAATGAAGCTGCTCTGGGTCCGACTTTTGTAGTCATCGTCCAGGTCCTTAAATGCTCTGTATACAGCTAAGGAAAACCTCGTGTTGCATGTGTAGTCTGAGTAGTTTCAAAATTCCAGAGAGCGCCCAGCTAAGACTTTCAACTCTAAGCAGCCGAGGGTCAGTTTAGACTGAGGTTGAAGTCTCTGCTTCCCCCCACCCCCCAACACCACCAGTGTCCTGTATGTACACAGAACCAGAGTGAAATAAAACCCAACTGAAAGCAAAAGTATCAAGCCCTGGATATTTATGTTTCTTCAACATGCTTGCATTCTACTTACTAATTGTAATTTACGTACGAGTCACTTGTGTCCTTCAGCTGGAAAATATATTTCAAAATTGACATAAATTAAGAAGCTTTAACTACATTTGTTCGGCGCAGGCAATGGAAAATAACCTGTCACAGAGTCCTCTTTCAAAAATGAAAAACAGTTTATTTCCACTGCCAAAGGAAAAAAAAAAACGGCATTCTGAAATGTTCTTAATGTTTTCACAGCAGACCTAACACCATAAATATCTTAGTGCTAAGTCTCTGTTGAGAGGGCCTCTGCAGTGGGGGACTGGCATGGCGATGTCGCTTTCTCCTGGGAAGGGCCTAACCCACCTTAGACAGAACGGCATTGTCTTTGTTTTTAAGGATCAGCTTTTCTTATGTGCACTTTCATTCACAAAACAAAGCAAGCCACCTTTGGGAGCTTTCAGAATATTGCTCTTTCCACGAATCCCCCCGCCCCAGTTCCCTGATGTTAGGGAGGAACTTTGCCGCGATGAGCCGCGTAAGGCAGCGTGCACAGTTGCGGGCAGACAGCCGTCTGGGCTGAGCGCCGTGGACGATGTGAGTCACATTTAACGATACTTCAACACTTGAGCGCAGTGTTTTATTCTAGTGGTTTATGCGCGCAAGCACTAATAATGATTTGCCTTTCCACTAGCCTCCACTTAGATTTAATAAGGAATTCATATTAATCATTAAAAGAAAGGGACATGATTCTTCAAGATAATCAAATATTGACAGGTTAGAAATAGCTTTCTGCCTGGGTTCATTGATATAGGTTATGTGATATAAATATTTATTTCTTTTCTGTCACTCAGAGTAAATGCCACCGATTGATTCAGCATTGATATAGTGTCAACAGTTCATAAGAAACATTTGACTGGCCCGTGTTTTCCGATTAGTCTCTGCTCTATAAAGTGGGATTTACTAAATCTCTCCAATTGTCTGCTCATAGAGTGTGACTGCTTTCTGAAGCCATTACTGCTTCCATTTGTGAGGCAAAGGTCTTGGGCTAGGACTGGTTTCTGTCAGAGCTTTACATGTAAAATAAGGATTAATTGAGCATTTTTATTTTAATGATTTATAAGCGATAGGTACTGATTCTTCTTAACACAGACAGACAATAAGCAAAGCACATTTTCTTAGCTGATCCATAATTGAATGCCATTTCATTTTCCCTGTTAATTTCATTAATATATTAAGTCAAGCCCTTTTTTTCAAAAAAGTTTAACCTTTTGTCTTTGGAATAGAGATATTGTTTTCCTCTCAGCACCTTTTGAAGGAGGATTCCATTTTTTCCAGCTTGAAAAAATAAATGATAAGGTATTTCTGGGCCCTGTTATTGAGAGGTGTAAGTCAGTCTCTCTGATGGGTTTTTCCCACTTCAGTTCTGGTGTGGCAGCATCTATTGAACATTGGCCCTGGATTTGAAACTGATGAAAAATAGCCCAATGGGTCAATTTAAAGAATTTTTAAAGTAGACAGTGACGCCAAGGATGCGGCTGTGACCATTGCATCTATAAGTTGTTTTTCCTCGTTTGGTCTTTTAGATTTTGTGGGAGAGGGTGAGAATATTTTCTTCTTCCTGATAAATCAAGTGTGAATATACTTAGAAGTCGCTGGTCTAGAACTGATTCCGGTTTTGCTGCATCCTTGACTGTTACTTTGAGAACTTGGAGTGCCATTAGGAAAACCTTGGGTCTTTGGGAAGAAAAAGAATGGGAGAGGGAAACTAGGTATTCATTGTAAAATCAGCTTTACAAACTATCATTGCTAGTAGATAAAACTCTTAGATCTTGTGGCTCTTCTTGGATCACTGTGACACTGCAGCGTAAAAGAGTCTGTGTGTTTAAATGCGAACCACAGGCCACACACCCAACCACTACCCTTGGCGGCTGCTGTCTCCCTCCTCTCCTCCAGCTGGGGCACAGCCCCCTGCCAGTCACTTTTCTCAAGTCATTTGCTGTGTTGGCAGTTGATTTGTAATTGTAACTCTTGGCTTTTTCTGCCCCCACTCCCCACCCGGCATCTATTATCCAGCCTTTTATTTGCTTCTTTTAGTCAAGGAATCTGAACTATCTTTTAAAACTATTTGGCAGTTTATTGGGTAAAAAAATTTATTTTGCTCCTTTTCAATTTAAAGATTAGCTATGTGATTTAAAAAACCATTCTTAGAAACAAACAGCAGAGCTGCTGAAATTACTGTTTAATTGTGAATGGCCTTCACTTGAGTGCTTAGTTGCTACTGAGAGCAGTGACTGTCCCTCCACACTCATAACACAGAGCAGTGAACCAGAGTGTGCTGAGACCGACTTCAAACCTTGACTAGTTGTTAGTGACTACTCACATAGCCTACGTGGGCCGAGCTAAATGATCTTAAAATGCTATAAAATTCAGTTTTAGGATACTTGATCCAGCTGTAATCTTCAAGTGCAGTACTCTTGGAGGCCTACAGATCCCATGGCTGTTCTTGCACTTCATTTGGGGAGGTTGAATTAATAGGCAAAAAATAAATAAAAAATAAACTAAAAAAGGCAGAAGTGTTATTTGGTGTTTGTTGATCCCTTTCAAGATTTTTTTCCTAGTTAAGATCAAAAGAAATCATTTGATCAGACATATGAAACTTTCAAAATGTTTTTAATAATGAATTCATGATTTCTATAATAGTCTTCCTTTTCGAAACTTTTTAAAATATAAATATTAATATATTGCATAAAATTTAGGAAATTCAGATAATCGAAAGGAAAAGAATCTGATATTTTAACATTTTTGCTATTTAAAAAAATTCTTGAAATCTTTTTGAAAGGCTGAGAAACAGGCAGAGGTTTTCCACCGACTGGTTCACTTCCCACCTTCCTATGACAGCCAGGGCTGGGCCAGCCTGAAGCCAGGAGCCAGGAGCTCAGTCTAGGTCTCCCAAGTAGATGGCAGGGATTCCACCACTTGAGTCATTACCACTGTCTCCGAGGGTGCATATTAGCAGGAAGCTGGAATTGGAAGCAGAGCCGGGACTTGAACCCAGCTACTCTGATACGGGATTTGGGCATCCCAAGCAGTGTCTTAACCACTGCACCAAATGCTTGCCCCAGAATCTAATATTTTTAAAAATTATTTATTTATTTATTTTTTGACAGGCAGAGTGGACAGTGAGAGAGAGAGACAGAGAGAAAAGTCTTCCTTTGCCATTGGTTCACTCTCTAATGGCCTCTGCGGTCGGTGCACTGCGGCCGACGCAGCACGCTGATCCGATGGCAGGAGCCAGGTACTTATCCTGGTCTCCCATGGGGTGCAGGGCCCAAGCACCTGGGCCATCCTCCACTGCACTCCCTGGCCACAGCAGAGAGCTGGCCTGGAAGAGGGGCAACCGGGACAGAATCCGGTGCCCCGACCGGGACTAGAACCTGGTGTACTGGCGCCGCAAGGCGGAGGATTAGCCTAGTGAGCCACAGCGCCGGCCGAAAATTATTTATGTTTTTGAGAGAGAACAGAGAGAAGTGAGGGGGAGAACAAGGTGGAGGAAGAGCAAGGCCCCTACCCCCTGGTTTATTCCCCAGACGCTCACATATGGGGCTGGTCCAGGGCTGGAGCCAGGAGCTGAGAATGCAGGCAGGTCTCCCGTGAAGGTGCAACACAATTGCTTGATCATCACATGCTTCTTCCCAATGAGTGCTTCAGCAAGAAGCTGGAACGGCGAGTGGAGCTTGGTCTCGAACCTGGTCGTTGTGATATGTGATGGGGGTGTCTTCACCAGCATCTTCACTGCTAGGCCAGACACATCCCAATGTTGTTTAAAGATTGATTGATTGATTGATTTGTTTGTTTATTTGAAAGGCAGAGTTACAGAGAAGCAGAGGCAGGGAGAGAGAGAGAGAGGTCTTCCATCTGCTGCTTCACTCTGCAAATGGCTGTAATGGCCAGGGCTGGGCTGATCAGGAGCCAGGAGCTTCTTCCAGGTCTCCCATGCAAGTGCTGGGGCCAGGGACTCAGGCCATCTTCTACTGCTTTCCCAGGCCGTAGCAGAGAGCTGGATCAGAAGTGGAGCAGCCAGGACTCAAATTGGCACCCATATGGGATGCCAGCACTATAGCTGGCAGCTTTTACCTGCCATGCCACAGTGCTGGTCTATATATATATATATATATACATATACATATACATATATATATATGCGCTATCAGTCAATTCATAAACCAGAGAAAAATGTGTGTAACTTTAAAATGCTGTAGAAACACTTTAATCCCTTTTCTTACAGATACTGTCTTTCTAAGTGACATGGTTCTATAACTTGCTCTTGAAAACTGTTTTTATTTATTCTTGTTTTTCTGAGTCTGACAGTCCTTCTCATTGTCTGCTGGATTCTGTCTTGATTTGTAGCTGTTGTGTTTGCATGCACAGTGCTTAGCACACGTGTACACATACCTGCAGCAGTCAACGGTATCTGTCCCCTTCTCACCTCCCCACCCTTGTGAGGCCCCCGTCATGCCCTGATGTTGGATGCCTGCCACTCCTGCTTAGATGAGAGTACTGGGAATGCTAGCCACTTGTCTTTTCAGCCTAGTGGTGGGTATTAGCCAAAACAAGACTGAGCTGTTGGCATTATGAAGGTGCAAGGTGCGCAGACACTTAACTACGTCCCCTTTTGCCTGTGGAGTGGTGGACAGGATATGACCGTGGACTGCAGCACCTCACCCCAGAGCCTCAGAGGCTGCAGAGCTCCATCCTGCTTACCCTTTAATCTCCATGTTTCTCATCCTGAATTTGTGGACTTGCATAAGGGTGATTTCTCCCTAGAAGTTTACCTTATTCCGTGATGAGAATGCAGCTTGGGTACAAATTGTTGGAGTCATGTTTAGAACATATTGAGAAATGTTCTGAGGGAATTGGCCTAGTAGCCTGTTTGTTCCCACCAGTAGATATTGCCATTTATGGGCACTTCATTGATCAAAGCAAGCCTTGTGGCAGCCGTGCTGGTTTAACATCTCACGTCACTTCCTGTGCTGCTTTTCTTAGTGCTGTTTTAGGATTTACCATTCAGAGCAGAATAATGAGGTTTTCTTTTTTTCCCTCTTCGGTACAAGTTTAAAATATTTTTTTTGTAATATATAAAGGTAGTACAGAGCAAGATTTCTTTCAAATAGGAAACTAGTTGCCAACTTTTCTGACTTCTCTGTCATTTCTTCACTGACCCTAAATATAGTAATTAGCTGGTTGTAGATTACATCAATCAGGTTGTACTACAATTAGATTGGGTGCTGAATTGGCCTCCGTGTGTCAGTCTGCCGATTTTCCTTTTGGGATTGGCAGGACTTCTTGGAGAAGAAGCTGTTTCTGTTCCTGCACTGTAGTCCTCATTCTTTATCCATGGTTCTGAAGCTTCCACTTCAGAAACGTGTGGGAGAAACAGAGTTCCCTTGATAAACAAAGGCTAGCTTTATCCGATTGGTGGGAGTTGGGAGTAGAACAAGATATTTAAAGCTTTACTGTAGTGGTCTGAAAGCAAACTATTTTTTTTCAAGTGATATTGAATTAAAAACTCCATCCATTTTCTGCCCATGCAAGGCAATGCAATTCCCTGGAAATTGATTTTTTTTTTCAGGGCTTACAATGGCTTTTCCCAAGCGTTAGCTATATGGAGAATAACACCTTTATTAAATCCACTTAGTGAATAAAGTTGGCAGTTAATTTTTAAGCAACTGGACCAGTGTGTAGCAAACAACTGAATGCATCAGATGGAGTCTGGTTGGTTTTTAAATCATTTGATAAATAATTATTTAGGGAGTTCTTTAAAAATTCTTAAACTCTGTTTTTTGGGTGCTCACATAATTCCCTTGCTTTCATGATACAAATGAGAGTAGTATTTGTGGTATGATCAGTGTTACAGAATCTTGGAAAATGTACATGCTGCTTCATATTTTAAAGTGTGAAAATGACTAGTTCATAAAAATTACATGCCTGTATATTTTCCCTTTAATTCATTATAATTTTAGACTATCTGCGCACTTTTGAAGTGCATTGATTTGGCACTTTTCCATCAACAGAATGTGATTGCTATCCAGGCATTGCTGAATACTACTAATTTATTACGTACAAAGAAAAGCTGTGTCTACTGCAGGAAAAATGCTAAACATTACTCATTTAGTTTGTTAAATGTTAATTAGAGGGTCACCTGAGGAGTTTCCGGCCTGATTTATTTACAGATCTGCCTCAGATTGCTGGGCGTGTGTGTGTGTGTGTGTGTGTGTGTGTGTGTTGTCCTCCCAGCCTGACTCTGGTTGTGTGCCGGCTCTTTGGCGTTGGTTGTGTGCCGTGCTGGACTGTTTTCTTATCAGTGTCTCTGACCTGACCCTTTTGAGCTATGTTATATCATTCCATTTTGACACCTTTTATCAAACTTTAATGAAATGACCCAGGCAAACAAATTGTCATTAAACTTTCCATCACTTTGTCCCTTGGTATCGTCTTTTATAAATTGGACAGCAAATGTTGTATTGATCTTCTCGTTCTTGCAGCTGAACTTGAAATGACCCAGACTGCTTGTTGTTTATGGCCCAGAGTTGCTTCTCCTTGACATTTCCATCCACAGCATGACACCTTTTTTGTTTTTCTTTCTTTCTCGTGGAGATGAATGAACAAGACATACGGTATCGAGACACCCTCGGCCATGGCAACGGAGGCACAGTCTACAAGTGAGTAGTCAATTCTACTTAAACTTTCCGTCCTCTCATGCTGACTGCTGGGGGTATGCGAGTTCTCCGTGGCAGAGATTTTTAAGTGACCACCAGTGCTTAGATTTTATTTCTGCCTTTGACTCCAAAATTCTGCGAGGCATGTATTTTCTCAGGAATTGCCTGAAAAGTGCATTTATATTGCCTTTTTAATATTTCTGGGTCTCTATCTCTCCTGCTTGTGCAGTTAAGTAGTCTGCCATTAGCAAGTGTACCTTTAACTGGCCTGAAGTTTCATGTGTTTTTTTTTTTCTCTCTAACAACCATTATTATTATTATTTTTTTAACTCACTAGCATCCTGTGCCAGTCCCCTACCTGTTCACAGTTAGACCCAGTGGAAGCCAGACCTTATAAATACCATTGCTTTGCCCTGTGTCGACATGCAAAGTTATTAAAAAGCCTTTTTCCTGTTGAATTTCCTTCTCTCCTCACCCTAGTCCCCTACGAGTATTTCCACACACATTGATGAATATGTTAAGTTATAAAATTCTCCCCAATTCCAGTCGTAGTGATCCACCCTAAAGGAGTGTTCATTTTCATATTAAAAAATGCTAACCGTAAAAAATAGTTGTCTCGCCAGGGGAGCCTGTTCTCATGCAGCAGTGCAAAGTTTAAGCCACATAATGTAATATCTGGTACTTAATAGTCTGCAGTGGTGTATGAAAAATATTCCACCAGGAATTAAAAAATCCGTCCTTTGTAAGAAAGCCCCGAGGGAGCAATAAGGCTTTCCTCCAGAGAGCTGTTTTCCATGTATACACTAACCCCACGGCCCAGCGTGACTGTTTTTACCCCAGATGCTGGAACATTGCTATCAATGGATATTTTCAGAGTTGTGAAATAATTAATTTGCCTCCTAATTGGTCACTCATATTTTTAGAGTTTGAAAGTTCTGACTAACCACGTGACTACAGAGAAAAATTGTTCTCTTGTCCTGTGACCAAAAAGGATGGCGTCCTCACCTCCCAGAACGCACCCCAGTTCTCGGGGCCGGAAGCTCCTTGGCAGTCCAAGCTCTGCTCCAGAGCTTCCATCTCCTCCGCTGCAGAGGCCAGGATGCGAGTCTTTTCTGCCAGCTGCAGCCCTTTCAGAACCAGGTCCACGTACTCGGATTGTGTTTTGCCTGCAGGTGACCGAGTGCGTGGATCTCTGACCTGAACGTGAGGTCCTTCCACTAGGGTAATTCAGAGAAATAAATCTCCCACGATCCGTGGGCCTTGCTCTGGAAGTGTTGGAGACTGCGTGGGTCCGACGAGTCTGGAGGTTACTCATCTCCCTCCTTCCTGGATCACACCGCACCAGCACCTTCCTGGGGCAGCCCCTGTCCTGCATATCAGCCTCTTCCTCCTCGTCTTCTCTTCATTTTCACCTGGCCTTAGAGTTTGTACCAGCTGGGATGGTTCTGGGGTTCAGGCACCCTTAGAAAGGAAAGAGGGACCATGTGCACTTGATTTTGTTCCTTGAGCTCTCTGCAAGGGGCAGTTTTCAAGGCTCAACGTTCTTCCTCATGATTTTATTCTGAGCATCTAAGAATAAAACAGGAAAGATGTCTAGCAACGCTTTGGGTTTTCATCGGCTTAAATGGAATCCAAAAATATTTCTGTAGAAGCCTTCCTTACTTCTTATCTGTGTTATTTCAACAAATCTTATTTAATTGAAAGCCTGTTGTAGATTTGCCATCCTAGTTTATTCCGGAAGGGAAGAAACGTACGACCAGCAGACCACAGCAGATAATTTTTATTAGAAGTAATATCATCGGTGGTTACATTTTAATCCTTTAGCTTAAAATGTGGTTTATTTAGAAAAATGGTGGAAGGTGGTGTATATACAGAAGTACAAATAATACGCACAAAGAAAAATTGTAAAAATGAGATTTTTGTTAGTGTTGTTTTAAAACTATTAATTTTAACTGTGGCAGAGCGCACGTAGCATTTGCCATCGTCACCCTCCGAAGCTAAGCAGCGTCACATTGGTTCACACTGTGCCACCGTCCCTACCATCCAGCCCCAAGGGCTCTTTGCATCTTGCAGAGCTGCGGCTCCGTGCCTGTTAAACAGTAACTCCTCGTTCGCCCTGTTAATGTGGTTTCTAACTAAGAAGCATGGCCAGCACTTCTGCTTCTTATGGGCCACAGCATCCAAGGGAACATTCTTCCCACATCCCTAGCACAGGCCCTTCAGTTTGCTCGGCTGTTACAATGGCAGCAACTCTCTGAAGAGTTTATTTGTTAATGCTCAGTGTGAGTGTTGTAAGGTTTAATATGTTTTTGACACTGGTGAATGTCAGTTGTCATAATGTAAGTAGTTGATTGACACAGATTGCTTACGAAAAGAAGAAATCCCATTTATCGTACTGCTTCTGTTACTCTTCAGGGGAGAGAATGTGAAGGTCCCATCGCGAAACCACCTGTCTGATCACTGGGCTTCCTTTCTGTCTGGGCTGCAGCTTGTGCTGTTCTCATCCCTGGCGCTGGGTTCTGCACATGGAAATGCTATCATCATTTTAAGAAATAAGATTCCACTTTACAAAATCCTCTATAAAATTAAGTGTTTGATGTGTTATGATTGAGTTTCTCCTACACTAAGTTTACCTTAATGGTGTTGGCTATAAAAATTACAGCTTTTCAAATGAAATGATTGCATTAGAAGCTATGCTACATAAACTAGATGAGGAAAATATTGGAAAAGTCACTCATTGGTAACAAAACTGCTTAACAGGCCTATTTAATTTTTTTCTTATAATGTATAAGGAAGCTAATAAGTGCAAAGCAAAAGTTTAATATTTCAGTCATATCTGGTCCACTTGATGAGACGTTGTGAATTTCAAGGGATATGATACCGTGTGTAATTGTGATGTATATTATTTAGCTGTTGATACACTTTCACCCTTTGTGTCTCGGTGTTTTTCCACATTTATAAAATATGAAGTTCTGGCCCTGGACGTTTAACCCAGCGCTGATAGATTCTGTGGGCTGTCCCCTGCTTGGGCTGTTCTCTGGATTACCACAGTGACTGAGGCAGGTGGTTTTAAATTGAAATTTCTTAGATTATGTATTGGGCTAAGTGGATCATAAAGGAAATACCTTATAAGTATAACCCAAGCCTAGGAAACAGAAAAGTTTAGGAAAAGGGAGTGAATGCATTTTTATTACGGCTCCATTTCTCATCGGGCTACAAGTTACTCTAAAAAACTAAATTAAGGAAAGATTTACATTCTGTTCTGCTCTGAGAGATTCACAGTGAATTTCAAAATCTTCAAGAAAATAGAGAACAATAGATGTATTACGATTAAGTGTCAGGACTCTTTTATTTTTTTAAGATTTATTTATTTATTTGAAGGTCAGAGTTACACAGAGAGAAAGAGGGAGAGAGAAGTCTTCCATCCGATCATTCACTCTCCAATTGGCCGCAATGGCTGGAGCTGTGCTGATCTGAAGCCAGGATCCAGGAGCTTCCTCTTCAGGGGCCCAAAGACTTGGACCATTTTCTACTGCTTTCCCAGGCCATAGCAGAGAGCTGGATCAGAAGTGTAGCAGCCGGGACTTAAACCGGTGCCCATATAGGATGCCGGTGCAGGCCAGGGCGTTAACCTGCTGTGCCACAGCGTTGGCCCCAAATGTTCAGACCCTGCGGCTGCCACTAGCTTGTTGTGTGACCTTGAGCAAGTTGTATAATGTCCTGTGCCTTGGTTTACCCATCTGTAAAATGGGGACGGTCGTGGTGTCTCTGTAGTCCTTGTGAGGTTCAGTGAGATGATCCATTGAGGGCTTACCGCCACCTGCTAAGTGTCAGTTTCTGGTAATGGTAGCACTGACAGGGCAGTGACATAAACCCTGCACTTCCTCCCCTTCCTTGCCCATGGGACCCTCCCTCAGCAGCCTCTGCAGACTTCTTACTGAATTACAGCTGTGTAGAAGTAGCGCTGAAAACTGCATCTGTCTTATGCTACATGTTACATACTTCAGTGTTTCCTGAATAAGGCTTATTGTTGTGTGTGTTTGCTAATTTGTTTTTAAGTTTTGGAGTATTTTCTGTGTTACTCTTTGTTTTCCGATTGCTCTGTCTGTCTCTCTCTCTCACTGTCCACTTTGCCTGTCCAAAAAAAAAAAAAAAAGCTGGTTTGATGGTAAGGCCATTTTACCATTTGGGCTTGGGCTTGCCGCCCTGTGGCCGTTGGGTGGAAAGGCCGTGTTCTGCACAGCATCTCTGCTCTTTTACTGTGTTGCTGTCTCAGGTTAAGCAGAATCCATTGTTTCCTTGTGAGGCCAAGTACAATCTTCAGGATTGAATTTGGTGTTTGATACGTATTGGCCAAAATGAGAATGAGGCAAATGGAAATTCTTCCCCATATCTGGTGAGTTTGAGAGGTTGTGTAATTGTTTTAGATCATTCACCGAGAAGAATGATTACTTTTTTTGTAAGCACCCATGGACCCAGCGTGGTAATCACCGTGGGCTTGTTCCTTGGCTGGTCTGTCCCACCGAAGCCCCAGTAATTAGCAAGCCCAGTTTTCTGATTCCAAACCCAGTCAGTTCGACTCTACTTCCTTTGTTTGATGGAGCCACCAAAACTTTGGGTCCAGAATTGAAGCAGTATTTGGTTCTTAGGATTGAATCATGCTAAGTCAGTTGGCAAACAACCGTCCAAAGATGATCTTTTGTAGTATTTTTCCTTAATTCAAATTATTCGCTCTTAAGACTCAAATTGTCCAGCTTTTAGGCCATGTATTCTAATCTCTAGGTATTTGAAAATAGTGAATTTACCACCTCTGGCTTCTGCTACAGTAAAGAGTCTAATTTGGACTTTGGGAAGAATTTTCTCAGTGATATAATGTGCCGCCTACATGGTGTTTTGAAGATTGGACATATACCATTATTTCAGAATTAATTTGAACATATCCAGGGGCAGGAAGATGAGGGAAGGGCAGTGACTCCCCAGGGTCTTGGTCTCCTGCTGTCTGT